CTAAAATCAGTTTGACAATGATTTTAATGGAAGCACTGCAGCCAGTCAATCTTCCACTTCGCTTGAGCTGGGCACACCATAATCTTACAGATTATGAATGTTGGTTTCCTGAAGAACACTGCTCATTATTTCTGTTTGGAAAACAGGAATCATTTTTGAAAAGAACAGCTCACTGTATTGGTGCATATTGTAAATGATTTTTATTTTATCCATTCCTGGAATGTGCATATTGCTGACAAGGTTGAAGTATATCGCCCACATCCAATGGTCTTCGAGCATGTGGTGTTCTATCTTCATGAAATGCTGCTGTCCTTGCAATACAGTCACACCCACAGGGGCTGGTGGAGGTGGGGATTTGGGGGTGACTCAGGTATTGGTACCTGCCAACTCCAGCTTGCTCCTCGCTCCTCTAGACCTCACTTTATACAGCAGTCCCTGGACTGCCTACATTCCCTGTCCACGGAGTTGGCACTGAACGCATGCCAGGCTCACAACACCCTCACGGTACATCTCTCACCCACTTATGATGCAGCTTTGTCCTTCAATACTTTCCTTGGAAGTGCAACAGCACCTATCATTGTAATGCTGCTGCCAGTACAGTTTGCAAGCAGTGTCAGGCTCTCAACTCATATTCTGGACCCAGGGACCATCACAGAGCTCTTTGCTTGCTCTCTTAGTATCTCTGCCTTGCCCTTTTGCACTTTGCCCCCTGAGCCAGAGCTTTTAGGCTCACAGTATTTCTACTTTGCCTTGTTGTTTAGCACAGACACAAAGTCAGGCAGATTATCATGGTTGTCGTCTGTCAGTCAAGGGGGTGGACATGTTGCTGTGTGGCAGCATGCCACATCAACCGCACATGCCAGCAGCTAACACAGCAAACACACTGTATGTGCTTCAATCAAGTGACCATGTCTCAAAGTTAAAGGACAGTAGTCCCTAGTCAAGTGGAGCTAGCCCTAACCACAGTAAGTCAAGGGCATCATCCAATATTCGTCCAGGGGCTTGGACATGGTCAGGCAGGGTTGGAGGTCTGTATCACTGCAATCTAGGGAGTAGACCACGGTCATTCCTGCAGGTCCAGTGCAGCCCAGCTAAAGAGTGAGAGCAATTCAGTCATGGAAGATGCACAGAGATCATTCAGGGATCTGGTCACTCATCAGTTGGAGCTTTTCATTGGTTAGGGGTTATAGATTGCAGTCAGCCATGAGGTTCAACTTAGTGATAGTCAAGGAGGGTCATTAGGGGTCACTGCTGTGGTAGGAGAATTGGGGAAATTCATTCTTGGAAATGGAGGTAGCATGTTTAGATGCAGATGGGACGATTATTGTGAAGGTCGGGGAAGATCAGTTTAATAGAAGGGAGATGAACATGCATTGGAGCATTCATATTGTGGTGATGGTGTTGGCAGGCTGCATTGACAGTCACAACCACCCTGGCTTTGAAAGTGGGACAGTGCTAAACAAGGTAAGCATGGTTCAGCTGGAGGACAAGGGCTCAGCAGGTAATGCTGGGAGCTGGTCACAATTGTGGAAACATGTGGAAGCTCAGAAACAAAAGCAGAAAATGTTAGAGAAATTCAGTAGGTCTGGCAGCATCTGTGGAGAGAGAATCAGAGGTAACACTTTTCAGAAGAGAACACATGGACAACGACGTCAGGTTTGTGGGAATGTGTGGAAGCTCAGTCCTGATGGATTTGCAATGGAATGCAAGCACAATAGAACATGGAGGCTCAGATTGCCTCCCAAACTCATGCAAATTGTATATTGTTTTGGAAATGGAAAAAGGTTGCATCACATCCAGAGTTGGTGGGGTAAGTGACTCTTTTCTCTGTTACTGGTTGCAGGCTGTATCTGTGAGCAATATGAGGCCCTTCAAGAGACAATCACATTCCTTCAGCACCTACGCAAGGCAGGATGAAGACATCAGTTACCAGAATACCATGCATGTGAAATCCATAGAGTCCAAACATGTGGGATACAATTCCTGGTCACCAGCAATTTTACCAGCAATGTAGACCATTGCAGATTAAAGATAGCCATCTCTGTGAAGCAGTACAAATTACATTAACCTATAGTGTTACCTGCACCACTATTCACAAAGACAATCCAAGACAAGGGACTGTACAAAGGCACAGAATTGAAATCCTCTCACTTTGGTCGCGTGCTGTTGTATGCAATGTTGTCTTTCTTGAGTGATGTGGGGAGTTTGGGAGCGGGTACTGGGAGGAGGGAGACATGACACAGCTTATGCTGCATTTATTGCAACAAGCTCCCACTAACAAAGGTCCATGTTGAGGCATTCCACAGCTCTCCTTGTCGAGTACTTCAGGTCCTGCTGGATGGAGAAGTATGGTACAGTGTCATGGGCCAAATGCCTTACAAGGATAGCTACTGGGAGATAAGGGCAACTCTCAGCAACCAGGCTAACCCCCTGACTGAAGCAGCGTGTAGATACGATGCAATTTATTCTTTAACCAGAGCATCGTGGAGACAAGAGGCCTCCTGAAATTGAGGTTCTGATGCTTGGAGTGGTCTGCAGCTCCTTGCGGTACATACCAGACACAGGCTGCTGTTTAATCATCACATCCTGTGCTCTGCACAACTGGAGTAGGTAAAGATGGGAAACAGTGGATACTAAAGAGCTGCGAGAACAGCATGAAGGTGATGAAGATATTGACCAGGAGGAACATCACCTTCTGTGTGATAGAGTGCTGGCACCAAGTTCCAATAATTGTGAGCAGGGTGCAATGCTATGTTCCCTGTAATTTGTTTTCCGCTCTGTGAACCTCCGAGGTCTTTGTGCAGCAGCGGTGCCCAAAGTTGGAAGTCAATGTGCTGACATGCTGATTAGCTTGCACGGTGCTTCCAAGTCATACAGTTTACAGGGATCATTGGTGCAGCAATCAGTCATGGACTGGAACTTTGATGGTGCTTGAATGGTCTCTGTCAGTTCCCAGAGGCAAATGCAGCTTTTCTTTGTTTGTATTTTCTTCCCATTTACCGTTGCAGAATAAAAGTGAACATTTTCAACTATTTGAAGGTTTTCCAGTATCTGATGGTGCCACTTGAACAATGAGAAGATGTTAAGCTACACTGGGTGTTTGGGAAAGAGCGGTACTCCTTTCAACAGCATTCTAAGATGACAGGACTCCAAGGATGGGAGCTTGGTTTTTAAATAGCAATACGTTGATGAATGTGCACTTGGACTTCCAATCAAATGTCAGCCATGCTACTTATGAGCCATTAGGAGTGTTTATCTTTCATTCTCTTCCACTCTGTGCACAGTGGAGGGCAACTCCTGGTCAGCAGCACTGGACTTGGTGAATGGCTTGCTTTAAAGTGGTGTCTGCACCAGGAATCCCAAGAGAACCTGGCAGTGTCAAGTACCTTTGGTGAGAGGGAAGATACAAGCAGGGTGCCATAAAGGCATGATGCATGGATAATAAGGCAAATTGCAGAGAATAGCATGAGAAAACACGGCAACGCCCTGGAAGAAGCCTTCATGAAAACTCACCAAAATTGATGCTTGGTTGATGTCCAGTAAAATTCAGCTAATAATCTCCATCATCGCTGCCTCAAAATCTTGGAAATTCCTAACAACATCATAGTGGATGTACCTTCACCAGATGGATTATAGGGGTTCAAGAGGAGGCTTCTCAAGCATGATTAAGGGTGGTCAATAAATGCTAGCCTTGCTGGTGATAGTCACACCTCAGGAACCAATAACAGACAATCCTCCCCTAAGAAATGAGCTTGAAAATCTCCTTTTTTCTGGTCAGTTCTTTGATCCCTGGGAGACCATGCTGGAGATTTTAAATTTAAAAGTTGATGACATTCAATTTAGAGAGACCTAATTAACATTTAATCTAAGTATTACATGCTGTGATTACTACCTCCCATCGACACTCAAACTCCTAATCACAGACAACAGGTTGCCCGCACCCAGACCTCCCTGCTTTAAACCCAAAGCTTGGGCACATTGAAGTGAGGTTATAGGAAGCATCCAAAAATCAACTGCCCACTCACCACAACTCTTCCAATTTAGGGAGTTAAAATTCTCCTTATACCAGCACGAATGAGCATGTTTATTTAGGGGGAAGAAATGTACGTATCTGCTAATAGGATGTTGTATCAGCCATTCATGCTTTACACAGAACGTACACAGTAGAAGCTCACTTTCGTGTTAATCTCACATCTGCCCTGATTGACAAAGCATGTAGGAATGCTTCCTCATCTTGCATAGTGTCAGCAAAAATAATATGTAGGGCACAGTTCGAGAAGCCCAACGATCGGTACTTGTCTCACAAATATTGCACATAATAGGTTGTATTAGGGCTATATTAATAAAATTTGCTAATGAGAATGCTGTCTCTTTCTTGACCCCACTTGCCTATAACATAAGGGAAGTGTAGGGAGTATCGGAAATCCACAGATATCTGTTTAAAATATAGAACTGCATTGTTTCTGAGCTCCCTATATTCCTTGAATATCTTATGGATTTCCATACTTCACACATTTCATGGATTTTCAGAAGATCAAAGAAAACAATATTTTATCAGAAGACTGAAAAGAAACTAGAGTAAATTAGCTTTAAGAAATTGTCATTTTTTTGTAAACCATTGAAATGTGTCATTTTTTGCAAATGAAATCCGATTATAATTTTCCAGCATTGAATTCAACATATCCAACCACATACATTGCGACTGATGTTCAAAACATCAACAGCACTGAGTATTCCAGCTGAACAATCATTTTCTATCAATGTACATTGTTGCAATCTATCATTGCTATTCTCTCTGTAATTGAATAGAATTGTGTTTATCTCTCAAATAGTATAAGCACAAAATATTGTGAAAAATTGCTTTCAGATTTCTAGCATATTGAATAATCCAAGAGTTAACCTCTCTTAAATGAAAGCAGAGATTTGCAGGTCACACTGCTAACATCCACATCAGGATTAGCTCTGAAAGAACTTGCGCATTATCTATTGAGATTACTCACGTCATAACCAGTGTTTCGTCTCCTGGTTCACTAAGTAGCCCATCTACAAAGACAGAAGTGCTTGTGAAATTATGCGTTGTCCAAGTATATCCTTCATCTACACTGAATCTATTTAAAAAACAACAAAAAGCACTTCATCAATTCAACTCAAATATAGCGTAATAATATTACCAACTGCAATGCATCACATGATTTAAAGATATTTTTCCAATATGCATATTCTTGCAAGTGAAAAGAAAAACTTCAATATTGTTGACTTTGGAAAGTATATTCAGTGTATGTTTAAATTATTGTTTGTCCTGTTTTAAAATTAAACAACATTATTTGCAAACATTTAGCTATTTCTGTTCAGAGTCCCATTCATTATAACAACGTTTCCATTATAATTTAGCAAAATATAACTCATTCCCTGGTCACAATCACCACATTCCATTTACTGTTGACTTTCATTGCCAAGCTGTTACTCCAATACCAATCATTATTTTTCATTGGTGAGATAAACTGCTCATTCTCTTTCACTTCAATTCAATTCTACTTGATGCATATTTACCATCAAAGCCTTAGGGTCCCAATAGATTTGAAAGTAAACAGAATATATGGGTGTGGCTATATGAATATTTATGTCTACATAGGAATAGGAAGATTGAGAATAGATAAAAAGGCTATGATGATCCATTGAGTTAGATATTGAATTCCCACTCCAACGTCTCATTGCAGTGGTCTGGGAAATTTGCCGGCCAAACAGTCAGATTCCACTGGAGTTTGCAGACTCAGGCAGTGGTTAGGCTATTTAGTTCAATCAAGCATGTGCCTTTGTCATATAGAACATCATGTGCAACTGGGATTATTGGGTCAAGACCTTGCCAAGCATAGAGCGTTAGAATGTTACTCCCAATACACTACTAGCTCTAAAGAATATTAAAGAATCCCAGAATGTAGGAAATATCATAACCTGTAATACCACACATCCCCTTTATCAAGTACTGTCTTCAATCAGCTTATAGAACCAAGGTTCACCTGAACTGATGCTATCTACTTCCACATTCACAGTCCTAAAGTATTCTTAAATTCCCTCTAAGTTTCAGGGTATGCTGTCTTATTCTTTCCCTTTGTTTTCCAATCCCTCCAGGCCCTTGAATTTCGTGATTTCTACAATCTCTTCCAGTCCCACTGGCCTCTTGAATCCCCTATTTCAAATACCCCACCATCGACAGCTTTGTCTTGAGCTGCTTAGGCCCCAAGGTCTGAAAATCCCTCCATAAACATCTTCACCTGTCTGTCTCTCTCTCTCTTCCTTTAACACATTATCTACAACCATTCCCATTTGGCCAAGATTTGGGTCATTTGCTCTAATATCGACTTATGTCACTTGGTTCCAAATGTTGCTTTGTAATGCTTATGTGAAGTACCTTGGGGTGTTTTATGTATTTATGTGACTGTACAAGTATCAGCTTTTGGGTTAAATTTTCCCATATGCAGTTGTAGTGTGACGGAGAGTGAGTTTCATGGTGATTGTCAACCATCACTCTGGACAAAGTTTCTCATGCTATCTTTCACTTTCCACCTCACTTTTCTCAGCGAATTGGAGGCATGTGAGTTGAGGGGCTTTCCGGCTTACATGCCTCTGGCACTGTATTTAAAGTTGGGCTGCACATTATCCCAGATGCTAGAGTCCAGGAACAATCCACCACACTGTGGCACTTGGCACTGAAAATATCACTGACAAAAATCAAGCTAGCTCCATGCTTCCAGGACAGGGATTGGAAGGTATTGGTGGACAGGGTGGAGGAGAGATGGGCAGTCCTTTCTCCTGCAGTGTGTTAAAGAAAGCTCCAACAGTGGACCCAGCCAACTCAGTCAGAAATTGCAGCACGAGTTTGTGTTGTATCGCATGTCAAAGGGCATACCAAGCAGTACTTCAAGAAAGTCAACGATATTCTGTATCCATCAGGGGCAAGTGCCACCATCCTCTCTCTCTGCCACCTCACATTCAAGCCCAGCACTCACTCTACCTCTGCTACTGCACAAACATCTCACTAAAGCTGATGGAAAACAATCCTCAGAAGGCATCCAATAACCCATTAATACTGCAGTCTTGTAACACTTCTACCAAACAGAGTCCATCGGCATTGTCCTTGTATGCAGTATAAACGTTGTTTTCCCCTTGAATTGGGATTCTTGCAAATTATCCTGATGAGTGCAAGATAAATATGTGTCTTTTTTTAGCAATACTCAAGTTCTGCAGTACCAAATGACTATTTTTGCCTATCTTTTCTAAATGTTAAATTTCCTTTAATATGTAGGTCCCAAGCTTAGTCATCTTACAGCTAAGTCTCCATAATGGCCATTAAACCATACTTTTATTAGTGCAATTAATTCACCTATTTTGTTGCAAATGCCACATGGATTTAGGTAGAATGTTTTTAATTGTGCCTTTCTAACACTATTCAGTACTTCAGTTGAATCAAATTTTGTTTCTGCTGCTTTTCACTTTCATTTACACCTTATCTACTTCCCAAAAACAGCTTTATCCTCCCAAAGAGGATATGAGTCACAATCAAACTAAAATGTAACCCATCTTTCCTTTACAGTGAGATAACGAGGTGTAGAGCTGGATGAACACAGCAGGCCAAGCAGCATCAGAGGAGCAGGAAGGCTGAAGTTTCGGGCCTAGACCCTTCTTCAGAAAATTCCTTTACAGTCATTGATTTTGATTTGATTTGATTTACTACTATCACATGTACCAAGATACAATGAAAAGTATTGTTAATTGTGCTAACCAGACATATCATACCTTAGATAAATACATCAGGGTAATAGAATAGAATATAGTGTTACTGCTACAGAGAAGGCACAGGGAAAGATCAACTTTAATGGTCAGTGCATAAGTCAGTTCATAAATATGAAGCTGTTCTTGAATCTTTTGGTGTGTGTTTTCGTATCTTCTGTCCAATGGACAAGGGTGGAAGAGAGAACAACCAGGGAGCAGTCGTTGACTACATTGCATACTTTTCTGAGACTGCAGGAATTGTGGATGGTGTCAAAGGAAGGAAGGCTAGTTTTCATGATAAACTGGGCTGCATTCACGACTCTTCTGTAATTTCTTGTGGTCTTGAGCAGAGCAGTTCCTAAACCACACTGCGATGCATCTGGGTAGATTGCTTGCTATGGTGCATCTATAGAAATTGGTAAGAATCATTGTGGACATGCAAATTTCGTTAGATTTCTGAGGAAATAGAGGCACTGGTGTGCTTTCTTGACTGTGGATGGACCAGGATAGGTCGTTGCTGATATTTACTTCTAGGAGCTTGAAGCTCTCGACCATGTCCACCTCAGCACCATTGACACAGACAGGGGCATGTCCTCCACTCCACTTCCTGAAGTTGATGACCTACTCCTTCATTTTGTTGACATTGAAGGAGATACTGTTGTCTTTACTACATGCCACTAAGCCCTCTATCTCTCTCCTGTACTCTGCCTTGTTGTTGTTTGACATCCAACCCACTACAGCGGTGTCATCGGTAAATTTGTCAATGGAGTTAGAGCTGAATTTGGCCACGCAGTCATGAGTGTATAAGCAGTATAGTAAGGGTTTGAGTATTCAGCCTTTGGGGGAGGAGGGGGTGCGGATGTTGAAGATCATTGTGGAGGAAGTGCTGTTGCCTATCCTTACTGTTTGTGGTCTGAGTCAGAAGTTGAGGATCCAGTTACAGAGGGGGAAACAGAGTTCTAGGTCTCGGAGTTTGGAATTGAGTTTGCTTGGAATTATGGTGTTTAAGACAGAGCTAAAGTCAATAAATAGGAGTCTGATATAGGTATCCTTATTATCCAGATGTTCCAGGGCTGAGCGTTGGGCCAGGGAGATGGCATCTGCCATGGACCTTGTTACTATTACAATTCACCTACCGTCACAAGGCAATCTGGGAGGCTGGACTTGATGTGTGCCATCACTAACCTCATGAAGCACTTCATAATGATGGATGTCAGAGCCACCGGGCAATAGTCATTAAGGCACGTTGCCTGGTTTTCCTTTGGCACCGGGACGATAATGGTCTTCTTCAAGCAGGTGGAAACCTCACATCGTAGTAAGAAGTTAAAGAAGTCTGCGAACACTCCCGCCAGCTGGTCTGCGCAAGATCTGAGTGCATGGCTGGGGACTCCATCCGGGTTCACTCTTAAGAAGGGGCCGATGTGACCATCTGTGGCAGTGACTGTGGGTAAAGGAGCACCCGAGGCTGTGGGGGCAGGTGGCATCACTTCACTGACCTTCTATTCAAAATGAGCATAGAATTTATCGAGTTCATCGGGGGGGATACGTTGTTGTCAGTGATTCTACTCGATTTTACTTTGTAGCTCATTATATCATGAGAGCCTTTCCACAGTCTATGTGCGTTCATATGGTTAGTCTGGGACTCTACTTTAGTCTGGTATTGTCTCTTGGCAACCCTGATGGCTTTCTGAAGATTGTACCTGGACTTCCTGCGCAGGTCAGGGTCACCTGACTTGAACACCTCAGACCTGAACTTCAGGGACGAGTGGGTCTTCCGCTCCATCCATGGTTTCCAGTTGGGGAAGTCTTGGACAAACTTCTTTGGCATGTAGTCCTTTACATACTTACTGATGAAGTCTGTAATGGTAGTGGCGCACTCACTTAGGTTGGTCGCTGAGTTCTTAAATATGGACCAGTCTACTGACGCCAAGCTCATCTGTTACCTCAGACCAACACTGTACAACTTTCTGTCCCAGATCCTCACACTTCAGTTTCTGCTTATAATCCGGGAGAAGGAGCAGAGCCTTATGGTCTGATATACCAAAGTACGGGTGAGGGATAGAGCGGTAGGCAACTTTTGACAGTTGTGTAGCAATGGTCAAGGGTGATTAGGCCTCCGGTGGGGCAGGAAATGTGTTGATTGTGCCTTGGTAGCGCAATCTCAAGGTTGGCCTCATTGAATTCACCGGCTACAACGAACAAGGCCTTCAAATATTCCATCTCAAGGCTATTTGTAGCAATGTATATTTCATCAAGAGTGCTCTTCACTTCCACGTGTAGTGAGATGTAAACTAATGTCAGGATAGCAGAAGTAACCTCCCGTAACAGGTAGTAGGTCAGTGCTTCACCGTTAGACATTCTAGGTCCAGGGAGCAGTAATTTGCCAGAGTAGGGTTGAGAAGGAGACAGACCCCTCTGCCCTTTACCTTGCCTGAGAATGCAGAAATCTAAAGCCCCTCCCTCTGCATTATATTTCCAGCCATGTGTTCATTCACACACTATGATATGCATTGGCACAATTCGACTCTTTTTTTCATACATGGTGCCCTGGAACTGTAACAGCAGCGACAGATCTCTGTTTATATCCTCTTTGTGTTGCCTGTGTGATTCCTTGCAGGTCTGCTCTCTCTCTCTCTCTTCCGCCAGAGAACTGTAGGCTCTGAGCCCCAATCTCTGTTGATCCTCTCTGTAGCCAGCACATTTCCTTGCAGATCCACACAATCGCCCAGGTAAGCGTAGGCCCCAGACCCTGCTCTCTGCATAAATCCTCTCCCTCTGCCACCAATGCATTTATTTGCAGGTCTGCTGACTGCTCTCTCCGAGCTAAGTGACATGTTGAGCTTCTAATCCACTAAAACCTATACAGCTCTTCAAACATGGCCCTTAGCTACTCGATTATCATTTATCATTTAGCTATGTTATCCATTAATTCAAATTTTCAGTCTTTTAACCTCATCTATGTTAAATTTCACTTGCTATTATCCATCTATTGTAGGTTCCCAAGCAACCTGTCCAAATGTAAAAGCCCCTCAATTTTAGTATTTCTTGCATTAAGCTTCAGAGCTTAAGTTAATGTAAACTTGCAACAATAAAGGTCATAACATTGGGCACGCTGCTCAACATAGCTCTCCTAACTGGAATTCTCTAAAAGATGATTGCAGATTCTTATCCTTCAGCCAGTCAGCATCTTATGCGGACCTATTTTAGCTGAGATGCCCATTACTTTAAATGTTATGTGTGCTATTGTCAACATACTTTCTAGAAAGCAACGAACACCCAGTGTTGATATGAGACTAACTGACCTGCAGTTGCTGAACTCTTTTCCTAGCCTTTTTGAAATAGACAACATTAACTAGAATGGCTTATGCATCTGCTGAATGTGTTTTTAGTCTGTTTAAGTCAGGCCACCTCTCAAATCAGATACAATTCCAAAACAAATTTGTAAACGAAAAAAACTGAAGAAATCAATGATTATGCTACTGATATTAAATTGTGACTGGACTCAAATTTACAACTTCTTACTTTAATATCTTCAGAGGGATCGAGGTATCCTTGATAGCTACAATAACACCACCATGGTCAAGGTAAAGAATATGATGTTCTTCCTCAAACACCTGAAGGAAACAACACAAACATCAGAACATTGGGATGCATATTGAGCCTCACATAATTTAAAATAAAAACAGATAACACTGGCGAAACTCAGCAGGTCTGGCAGTATCTGAGGAGAGTGAAACAGAGTTAATGCTTCAAGTCCCATGACTCTTCTTCAACAGTTTTAGGACATAGGATGGTACGGCACAGGAACAGGCCCTTTGGTTCACTATACCTGCACCTACCATGACAGCTTTCTAAACTAATGTCATCTACCTGCACATGGTCCATATCCCTCTATTTTTTGCCTGTTTGTGTGTCTGTCTAAATGCCTCTTAGATGTCGCTATCATATTTGCTTCTAATATCTCCCTAGGCAGTGCGTTCCAGGCACCTACCACCTGTGGGAAAAAGACTCTGACTGTTCACTATATCCATGCTTCTCATAACTTTATACACTTCTGTCAGGTCACCCTTAGCTTCTGGCACTTTAGCAAAAACAATCTAAGTTTGTCCAACCACTCTGTAAAGCTCATACACTCCAACTAAAGCAATATCCTGGTAACCATTTTTGGGACTTTCTCCAAAGTCTTCACATCCTTCCTATAGTGAGGTGACACAAACTGCACACAACGCTCCAAATGTGGCCTAACTAAAGTTTTATACAGCTACAACATGACTTACCAACTTTTATACTCAATGGCCTGATGAAAGCAAGCAGGCCAAATGCCATCTTTACCACCTTATCCACCTGTTTTGCCACTTTCAGGGCACTATGGGCTTGTACCCAAGATCCCTCTGTATATCAATGCTCCTAAGGGTCCTGCCATTTATTGTACACTTTCCTTTTTCATTTGCCCTTTCAAAATGCATCACCCCGAACATGTCTGGATTAAACTCCATCTGCCTTTTCTCTGCTCAACTTTCCAACTGAGCTTTAGCTTGCTGTATCTTTTGCCAACTTTCCTCACTATCTACAACTCCACCAATTTTCGTGTCATTTGCAAATTTACTAATCAGACTATTTACATTTTCATGTAAATCATTTGTATATGTATCACAAACAAGACAGGCTCCAGCACTCATCCTTGCTGAACACCACCAGTCACAGACCTCAAGGCAGAAAAATCACCCCTCCAAAATTACACTCTGCCTTCTAATGATCCAAGCCAATTTTGTACCCAACTTACCAACTCACTGTGGATCACAGTGTGGCTTAATCTTCTGGACCACTCTATCATGAGGGACCTGGTCAAATGCTTTAGTAAAGTCCATGCTCTTCCAATAAAGTTTCGATCACCTGGCTGGCTCATTCTCCAATACAAGGTCTGGTAAGGCCCCTTCCTTAATTTGACTATCTACACATTGTTCAAGAAATTCTCCTTGATGCACCTAACAAATTCTGCCCCATCTCAGCCCCTGGCACAATATTAGGAAAGTTAAATCACACATTACAAAAACCCTATTGATTTTACATCTTTCTATGATCTGCTTACATATCTGTTCCTCTATTTTGCACTGGCTATTGGGAGGCCTATGATATAAGGCCATTATAGTGATTGCACCTTTCTTATTCCTGAGTTCTACCTATATGGCTTTGGTGGATGTGATATTCTCCTTAATCAGTAAGGCAACTTCCCCATCTTTTCTACATCCCTCTCTCTCTCACCTGAAACATCTAAACCCTGGACATTGAGCTGCCATTCCTGCTCTTCTCTCAACCTAGTTTTGTAATGGCTACAACATCATAGCCACTAATCCAGGCTGTAAGCTCATCTGCCTTACCTGTTATACTCCTTGCATTAAAATGCTTCAGATTGCCAGCCTTGCTGTGTTCATTAATCTGGTACTGCCTGTTCTTCCTCTTCAATGACTTAACATTGACCTTCTCCTCAATCATTCCATCTGCTGACCTAACGCTCTGGTTCCCAGCCACTCTAGTTTAAATGCTCCCAAGTAGTACCAAAAAACTACCCTGCATAAATATTGGTGCCTCTCCTATGGTGCAACCTGTCCTTCTTGTACAGGTCCCTCCTGCCCTGGAAGAGATCCCAATTATCCAGATATCAGAAACCTTCACTCCTACATAAGGCCTTTAGCCACACATTCAATTGTTTATTTTCCTATTTCTGGCCCCATTAGCACGTGGCCCATGGAGTAATTGTGGGATTACAAGTTTTCAACTTTTTGCTTAAATCCCGAAATTCCCTTTGCAGGACCTCATCTCGCTTCCAGCCTGCGACATTAGTGCTGATACGGACCACACCTCTGGCAGCTTACAGAATATCCCTTTCAGAATATCCTGTTCTGGAGCATCTTCCTTTCTTATTTCAGGTATCTAGCATCTACAGTATTTTATTTTTACTCACCTAACTTAAATTCCTATCTGAGAAAAAGCTGGTGTCAATAAAATTAGGATTAATCCATGTGAAAAAAGTGAATTGCTGGATTGATATGCTTCAAAACAAAATAAATTCTATTTTTTGAACAGATTTGTCAGCCCACCTAGCACCTAGGGTGAAATGGAATTGTTTGATTATTATTGACTTTTACTTGGCCCACTTGTATCATGTTTCCTTCTTCAACTGTATTACCAAACACATGACTTGCTTCGTTAACGTAATTTTTCAACCACCGACCACAAAGTTCCTGAAAGTAATCCAGTTTGATTCATCCTTCAAATTCCCCTCGCTTTGTCCTTTCTATGGTGAAATACTTTGTTTGGAACAGATGGCCTGCCAGAGGTGATGAGCTCACTGCTTAGGGAATTGCAATCATGCAACTAATCTATGACATAGGTCATTAGTTACCCTAATGCGACATAGCCAAACCTTTATAAATTAAGAGCTAATTATGAATTGAAAGGAAAAGCAAACTTTAAGGCTGATGGAACACAATGAGGTGTCCATAAGAGACAGAGAAATTTATGTTAGTTTATCTTCTGACTGCAATGGAACTATATTTATTATTGATAATTGAATATTATTTATAATACAACCTTAAACCATTTCCAAGATGTATGAGAGAACTTCAAGAAAGTAACTTAGAAAGGATCTAACTATTGTTATTTATAATTGAAGTTGTGAATGCAAAATACAAGTTAAATTAGTATTTTCCATTGTCTGTTAATAGCAGCCATTTTATGAATGGTGAATAATAAATCTGAAATAAAAACAGAAAATGCTCAGTAAGTCTGGCAGCATCTACGGAGGGAAAAGCAGTTAACATTTCAAGTTTTGACCTTTTATTTAGAATTGTGAAAAATCAGAAATAAGAAAAGAATAGTGATTTAATTTATCTCTAAAGCTACTTAAAGATTCTTAAATAAAATCTACATTTTGTCTAATCACATAAGGCTGTTCCAAATTCTTTTGTCTTTATTCTTTCCAACTAACTTACAAACACAACAAAAATCTGTCATTTTATCTGATCTCCACATTGGGAAACAGAACTTTTTTTCAAAATTTCCATCCCCGATTCTCTCCAAGATGGGAGGCAAAATACCTGCTTCTGTGAAACACTCAAAAAGGAATTTTAAAACAGGTGGAATTTTTCTTCCAAAATAAGAATGACTCCAAAACCTCATTTCTACTGACCACTAGAGACAAGTAACAAGACAAGAACACAGAGGATATGCAAGTTGATTTTCAAAGTGTGGTACATACTTTCTCTCTGTCCACAGAGTTTCTCTCTTTTTTTCCTGCATTGAGTATAGTAGTTGTTGGATGTGTTAGCAAATTGAAAACAGAGAAGAGTTCTATTCATATGCTATGTGATACAGGGGTATTCATGACTAAACGAATGCCCACCCTTCAAATTAGCTCCCTACAGGCTCCCAAATGCTAATTAGCCTCATCTTTTACACTATACTAATATAGGTGGCAGTGGCTAATGCCTAGGTGGTAGCCTCCTGAGCCACATATACAAGTGATAGCTATTAAAATAAAGACTTCAAGACATGGATAAAGACTTTATGATAAACATACACTGAATGATAAACAAAGATCCAAGAACATTATATATGATGGGAAATGGAGATTTATACATTTCTTTGAAGTTGCATTTTGGTTTAAATGAAGCACTCTTTACAGAGTGAGAATCTACACAAGAGACAAAGTGAGAGTTGCACAACACTTGATACAAAGTAGCCAGTGTATCAACAAATAAGCCACAGCATAAAGTGTTGGGTTCAGTTTACTTGCCTGCCTCCATGTATTGCCACAGTCGGAGGTTATGTACATATCTTCCTTGTACTCAACCAGCTGGGCTCCTAAGTTTCCTAAGAGATGAGAAGTCATTCTTTTACATTATGCAAAGACAACAAAGTTTTGAGCAGATATGAACATATTGCTTACTACAGACATACAAATGGACTGAGGTATTATTTTCATACCCAGTAGCATGAGCACCATGTATTTTAATGAAACCATTGTTAAAGAATATTCATACTTCATTCACCTTCTCAGTAATGAAATTATGAAGTATTTTGATTTTGAGAACTGCTGCTGATGGAGATTGGTTGGATTAGACACCTATTTGACCTCTGGTTAAATCCACCAACAATGATGGAATCAAAGTATAGGCTAATTTTAACTGTGGTGGTGGTAACCCTGACAGTGTGCCAGAAATCCAGGGGAAAGCTGTTTCCACTGTCATTTTAGGGAGTTCTGACACGATTCAAAGGTCATCAGGCCATTCACTGTGTGCTGCGTGCACATCTCAATGATTGTGACAGATAATTTCAAATTAACCTGCTCAGAGATGTTATTACACATATGTGAAGTAGATGGGACTTGAACCCAGGTCTCCTGGCTCAGAGGTAGGAACACTACCATTGCTCCATGACAGCCCAATGATTGTGGCATTCAGCTAAATATGCTGTTCACTGACTATATACTGAGCAAGGAGCCCCAGCCTGCACTTCTTAAAGACAGCCTAACAGGGCACTAAATATTCTTTTTCAACAGCTCCTCTTGAGATTTTCAGTTTTTAGTATTCAGGACTATCTTTTTCACTCTCACTCACACATTTATTAGGTGATGCTGTCCATAGTGACATTATCTCCTGCATGTGTGTTGATGTATAGAGTACAGCCATAGAAGCAGAATAAGAAGAATTCATCAATATACTCAATAATTATTAACTCTCCACTAAGCTTAAAACCACAACACATCAAAGAAAGCATTGATCTCCTAGACACCGCAGTACTTAAATTGGCACAGAATCACAGGCACAAACTTTTTTTTTCCCAGGAGTTTGACACATATGTCTACACACAAGGTCATCACCCTTAGCACAAATTGGTGAGGTCATAGACAATGTGCTTCTATTGTGTATTCACTAAGCTAGAATATTTAAACCAGGCAGTTACTCACATTTGTACTTCATGTCAAAAATCAATTTCAGGTCTAAATTTGAAATGGACACAGTGTTCACTACAATAACACTTACTGCAGTTTTCTTCATACAAAAACTCCTGAATATATAAGCTGTCAGCTCAAGATTCATATTCGAGTACATAATTATTTCAATGCTTTCAAGATTTTCCTTGTCCCCAGTTGACTGATTGTTCCTTCACTAACGGATTTGAAACTGTTCTCTCTTCTTTTCAATCTCTTCTCTCTTACCTCATGCTGTATCTCTGCCTTCCCCTGGCTTATAGTCTCCCTTTCTCCACCATTCCAATGCAGCTACCCTGCCTCCCCCATCCCTATTGCACACTTCCACTAGCCTGCAACATACCTTCTTGCTATTCTCTCAACCCCCAGGCCCCTTTCAATGTCCCAGTCTCTTCCACCCACCCCTTTGCACCCTCCATGTCTACCCCTCATTGAACTGCTGCTTCCCATTTCCACATTTTCACTCTTCCCAAGCTCCGGGAAACCTTATCTCCCACACCCACTCTGTAGCCCACCTTCCTTGCAGCTCTACCTTCTTCACCCCCACCAACCTGCACCGGGCAAGCAGCCAATTTGCCAAAAAAAAGCATCTCCAGGTGCCCTCTCTTGGTCTCAGCAAAAAAAGGGGTGGCTTTCACAGTCAGGCCTGCTCTCCCCATTTGGCCCCTGCTTTCAGACCTCGCTATCAATCCCCTGCCCCCTCCTGAGCCTTGGTCCTGGGCTCTCGTGCTATTTCTGGACCCTGGCTCTAGGCAGACACCCCTGGCAATTCCCTCACTGCCAACACTTATTTACCTAGCTGTCTACTACTCCTCCAATCACCAGTTATGTCTCTCCCTCTCATGAATCTATCAGCAGTTCAAAAAGGCAGCTTACCACCACCTTCTCAAGGGTAATAAGATGATGGGAATAAGAACTGGCCCGACCAGAGACACATACATCCCATGAATTGGCGGGAGGTAGAGATTACAATCATGGCACAGAAGAGAACCAGCCTGTGATTGGAGGAAGAGCTCCTGACCACTTCCTTCCCTTCTGTTTACTGGGTGAGGGGGGCACTTTGCTCTGATTGACTTACCTGTGTATGAATTTCCCAGGGCATTATGGGACATTTGGGGCAAATGTGCCCACTGTTCCCATGCATTTTCCATGCTATAGCCTGCCCATCATAAAAACAAAGTACATTAAGAATGTAGCAGCTGGTGAAACTGTCTCTAGATCACTAGTGTAGCAATAGTCATAGAGTAAGATCTTCCAGGTTCTTTTTCTTTTATTATTATTTCACAGTATGAGGGCATTGCTGGCTGGGCCCATTTATTGCCCAGCTGTAGTCATCCTTGAGAAGCTGGGTGGTAAGACACTTCCTTGAACTGCTGCAGTACTTGAGGAGTAGAGACTCTCACAGAGCTCTGTTGCAGTGTGGAGGCTTTAGTCCAGAACATAGGAAGGAGGCGTCCCTCTGCGCACTCACTGTGAAGGACAAGTTAGTAATTAATCATGGAAGCCAATACAGAGACCGTGAACCAGAGGATCTGCAGCAGTGCCAGGAGAAGTCAAAACCTCACTTGGGTTTTCAAGGTTATCTCCTACCCAGCACACTATCATTCTCTCATGTATCAAATATTCAGCACTCCCCCAGCAGGAATCAGGATGCATGCCTAACATTCATATCATCCAACAGAATAAAACAAAGAACTACAGGTACTGGAAATCTGAAACACACAAAAACAGAAATAACTGGAGGCACTCAGCAGGCCTGGCAGCATTTGTTGAGAGAAAACAGAGTTAATGTTTTGAATCCAGTGACAATGTCAACGTCACTAACATATATCACAAAAGAGATCTGGACAAGACCACTGTACGTGTTTCCCAAATCTGAACAATAATCATTTATCACCATTCTCTGTTTTCTGTCTCTTAGCCAATTTTGTGTTCATGCTGCCATTTTCCCTTCTATGGGAAATTTGCTAACAGGTCTATCGTTTTACAGTTCTACAAAAACCTTGTAAACAATGTTATTATTGTCAACTGAGATCACAACAATGAAAAAGTCAGATCCCAGATGGAAGCCTGGCTTTGGATATCTTAAGTTTTATTTTTCTTTTTGTTCACACTGGATGTCAGTCACTGAACATAATCACAAGAGGCTGCCAATGTACTTTTAACAAAAGGATATAAATGTATATTACAAAATAAAAGTACCAATTATATTTCACTATACAGAAACAATCGGACCAATCTCATTACAAGTGTCAGAAGGAAAGGCTCATCCTTCTTACCCAGCAGTAAATCTCAGTGACAGTCAGCCCAGTCTCCACATCAAATGGAACAATCGTCATCAGTTTGCTTTTGACAAATCATTGTGTATTCGATAGATTCTATTTTCTTAATAACACAGGAACAGGAGTAGGCTAATCAGCCCATCTAGCCTGACCCACCATTGAATGATCATGCCTGATTGAACACTTTAATGCCTTTTGCCCACCCCATCACCATAACCCTCTATGCTATTGGCAATCAAAAATCTATCAGTATGTTCCTCATACTGTGAAGCTGAACAAAGCAAGAAAGCCCGCAGTGGCATGAGAAGATGCCAGACAAAATGTCACATTTCCTTCACAAAGGGAACACTATGGTCCTCTGACAAGGTCCATTTCATGATTTTATCAGCACTTCTTAAGAAAAGAGAAACACATGTGACTATAGTATGATAATCCTGGACAAATATGGTATTGCTGGAGTCATGAACAAAGTGAAAAACAATTTTCATACATATATGTAGTTAGCAAATGTTTTAAAAGACATTATATAGTCTAACAAAGATGGCTATTATAATCATGTGACTGAACTTATAATAAGACATAAGATGCAGGAGCATAAGTAGGTCAGTTGGCCCATCAAGTCTGCTCTGCCATTCAATGAGACCATGGCTAATTGATAATCGTTAACTCCACTTCTTTGCCTTTTCCCCACAATCCTTGATTTTCTTACTGATCAAAAGTTTGTCAATCTCAGCTATCAATATACTTATCAAACCAGCCTCTCCAGCCCTCTGTGTTAAAGAATTTCACATTTGCATTTCTTTCTCTGAGAGAAGAAATTTCTCCTCAGCTCTGTCTTAAATGGTTAACCTCTTACTCTGAGATTATGCCCTCTGGTCCTAGAGTATCCCACATGGGGACATGACCTTTCTGCATCTACCCTAACAAGTCCCCCAAAGAATTTTATATATTTCAAGAAGGTGTCATCTCATTATCCTAGACTCCAATGAGCACAAGCTTAACCTAATTAATCTTACCTCATAAAAAACTCCCTACATACCCAGCACCAACCTAGTTCTGCCTCCAATGCCAGTATATCTTTCCCTAAATAAGGGAACCAAAACTGGTCACAGTATTCCAGGTGTGATCCGACTAGTACCTTGAATAGTTATAGCAAGACTTCCCTACATTTCACATTTCATTGCTTTGAAATAAAGACTAACATTTCAAATCTCTCTTTACTTCAGCTACCTGCAGATTTTCTCATTTAAATAATATTCAGCCCCTCTATTCTTCTTGTTAAAGTGTGTAACCTCACATTTTCCTATGTATAACCTCACATTTTCCTACATTCTATTCCATCTGCTAAGTTTTTGCTCATTCAATAAATCTGCCTATATCCACCTGTAGACTCATTATGTCAACCTCACTGCTTCCTTTCTCACATATTTTTGTGTCATCTGCAAACTTGATGATAGTACATACATTCACTTTCCTCATCCAAGTCAGTAATACATATTGTAAATATTTGTGTTCCTAGTACTGATCCCTGTGGCACTCCACTAGTTACAGGTTGCCATCCTGAAAATGTCCTCCTTTTTCCATTCCTCAATCTTATAATGTTTAGCCAATTCTCTATTTATTTTAATACACTGTTCCAACCACCATGGGCTCTTAACTTCTTAAGTAGCCCAACATGCCATAACTTAAATGCCTTTTGGAAATCCAATGTATTGTATCTACTGGTTTTCCTTTATCTGTCCTGCGTGTTACCTCCTCAAAGAGTTCTAATAAATTTGTCATAAATTTATGAAGTCATGCAAACTCTGTTTGATTATATTTCTAAATGTTCTGCTATTAAATCCTTTATAATAGACTCTAACATTTTCAAGCAATAATCTTCCAGAAACTTCTCAGAAGTCATGTTAGCCAGACAATCATCATTCTCTGTACCTCTCATGGGTCTGGAAAGCTAACTAATATGCAATAACCTGTCACAGAGAAAAGTATCACCAAGAAAAGAAACAAACTTGCTACAATATAATCATAAGTTACACCATCCTACAGGAAGACGTGTGAATGACTTTCTGTTTAACCCCTGAAATGGGCCATAGACAGTTGGTCGTCTACAATACAACTCTTTGCCTTGATGTTAATTGCCTCTCAACCTCTAGAAGGCTTGATCACATGACTCCCACAATACAGAGTCCAACTGCCTTTTAGCCATACGATTTTGAACCAGTGTGAGTATCAATAAAAGATGATAAGGTAAAAACAGGAGAAGGTAAAACACAGACTTCCAAGTTTAGGCAATTCCCACCATATCTTTGGTACATTATCCCACATTTCTCTCACTCTCTCCCACACAGTCATCTACAAAAACATTACACAGAGAGTCATAGAGTTGTACAGCATGGAAACAGATCTTTCAGTCCAACTCATCCATGTTGACCAGGTATCCTAAATTAATCTAGACCCATTTGCCAGCTTTTGGCCCATATCCCTCTAAACCCTTCCTATTCATATACCCACCCAGATGCCTTTTAAATGTTGTAATTGTACCAGCTTCCACCAACTCCTCTGGTAGCTCATTCCATACATGCACCACCCTCTGTATGAAAATATTGCCCTTTAGGTCCCTTTTATATCTTTCCACTCTGACCTTAAACCTAGGCCCTCTAGTTTTGGACTCTGCTACCCTTGGGAAAAGACATTGGCTATTCACCTTATTCATGCCCATCCTGATTTTATAAACCACTATAAGATCACTCCTCAGCCCCCGACGCTCCAGGGAAAATAGCCCCATGCAATTCAGCCTCTCCCTATCGCTCAAACCGTCCAACTGTGGCAACATCCTTGTAAATCTTTTCCGAACCCTTTCAAATTTCATAACATCCTTTCTACAGCAGGGAGACCAGAATTGGATGCATTATTCAGAATTGGCTGAACCAATGTACTGTACAGCTACAACATAACCTCCCAACTCCTACAGTCAATGCACTGACCAATAAAGGAAAGCATACCAATCGCCTTCTTCACTGTCCTGACAGTACTGTATTAGACACTTCCTGATTGAATGTTAAATGAATGAGTAAACATTTCCTTCAAGTTTTTAAACCCATCCTAAAAAATCATCCAGAAGAAAAAGCTCTGTGTTAAGCAAAGTGATTAGACCTTTCATTAAATATAGCTTATCTAAATAAATAATTAGTTTTACCTGCTCCCATTATAAGTCCTGGTGCTGAATCTTTGGTGTGAACAGTGCCTGATACATATGGGTTGTCAGCCCAACGAAGGTGCAGATGAACAGAGCATTCAGGCTACAGAAAAGACAAGCAATAAATTCATATTTCAGGATTAACTGATGATGTGCATTTCATTCATTACTCTGTATGAAACACATTCCTTTATCTGTATAGCTAAAGTTTCTAAGATTGTTTCCAAATGCTACATAAACAAATAATTAATACCATTTGGGATGACTTAACAAATTAGGTTTTCTCATTTAGGCTAGCAATTTCCAGCATATTTTACTGCATTCAATTTTGGGTAATGCAACTCAGGAAAGATACACAGGCCTTGGAGGGTTTCAGCGCAGATTCACTAGAATGAAACCAAGCAAAGTATCTGTGAGGGTCAGTCAACATCCATGGAGAGAGAACAAGCTGTCATCTAGACTTGAAACGTTAGCTTGCTCTCTCCCCATGGATGCTGTCTGACCTGCTGTGATCTCAAGTTTTCAGTACAGATTCCAGCATCTGCAGTAATTTGCTCTTACAAAGTACTTACGAGGTCAAGTGCAAAAATCTGTAATGTATCACCAGACACAGTAGATTGTGGGTGATCTAATCAAGGTGTAGATTTAGTGATGCAAGTTAAATAAGAAACAGCTTTAACAAACAAAAGACCCAGCTATGGACTATTACCCATTCGGAGTACAGCGAGAGGAGTTCACCCCTAATTTTAGAAAGTTATTCTGAGACAACCGCAATACAAATAAAAACTGCACACAGCAATGCACACAATGCACTATCAAATTACAAAATCAAAATCATTTTGTATTGCAAAACAACCAAATGATGTGCTGTTTCTGAGAACTGCAACACAGTACGTAAAGTTTCTCATTGCTGACACTCAGTCACATAGTATAATATGTAGTATGGTGCCAAATGCGTGAACTAGGTGCATGTCCTTGTAGTAAAGTCATAAAGTCATAGTCATACAACACAGAAAGAGACCCTTCAGTCCAAACCATCCATGCTGAACAAAATCCCAAACTAAACTAGTCACATCTGCCTGCTCCTGCCCCATATCTCTCCAAATCTTTCCTATTCACATATCTATCCAAACGTCATTTAATTGTTGTAATTGTATTCACATCCACACTTCCTCAGGAAGTTTATTCCACATGCAAACCACCCTCTGTGTAAAAACCTTGCCCCTCACGTCTTTTTTAAATCTCACTCCTTTCACCTTAAAAATATCCTAAAACTTAGTCTTGAAATCCCCCATCCTAGGGGAAAGACAATTACCCTAAACTGTATCTATACCTCTCATTATTTTATAAACTTCTATTACGTTGCCTCCTCCTATGCTCGAGTGTAAAAAGTCCCAGCCTATCCAGCCTTTCTTTATAATTCAAACCTTCCATACCCATCAACATCCTGGTTAATCTCTTCTGAACCCTCTCCAGCTTGATAATATCCTTCCTATAACTGGGCAACCAGAACTGGACACAGTACTGCAGAAGAGGTCTCACCAATGTCCTGTACAAACTCAACATGACTTCCCAACTCCTATACTCAAGGACTGAACAATAGGCAAGTGTGCCAAACACCATTTTAACCATCCTATCTATTTGGGACACAACCTTCAAAGAATTATGTACCTACATCCCTAGGTCCCTCTGTTCTACAATATTTCCCAAAACCCCACCATTAATTGTATGATCCCTACCCTTGTTTGTTGTACCTAAAAGCAATACTTTGCATTTATCCACATTGAACTCCATCTGTCATTTTTCAGTCCATTAAGCCATTTGATCAAGATCCTTATGTAATCTTAGAAAACATTCTTCACTATCTACAATGCCACCAATTTTGGTGTCATCCACAAACGTACTAATCATGCCTTCTATATTCTCACCCAAATCGTTTATGTAAATGACAAACAAAAGAAGACCAAGAACCAATCCCTGTGGAATACCACTGGTCACAGGCCTCCAGTCCAAAAAACAACCCTCCACCATTATTCTCTGTCTCCTGCCATTAAGCCAATTATGTATCCAATTGGCAAGCTCACCCTAACTTTACTAATTAGTCTACCATGCGGATCGCTATCAAAGGCTTTACTAAAAACCAAATAAACAACGTCTACTGCTCTGCCATCATCAATCTTTTTGGTAATTTCCTCAAAAGACTCAATCAAGTTTGTGAGACATAACTTTCCTCGCACAAAACCATGCTGACTACCCCTAATCAATTTTTGCCTCTCTAAATGTCCATAAATCCTATCTTTTATAATCACCTCCAAAAATTTACCCACAACCAAAGTCAGACTCACAGGCTCATAGATCCCCGGTTTCTCCTTACAACCTTTCTTAAACAAAGGTATGACATTAACCACCCTCCTGTCATCAGGCACCTCACCTGTAGTTATAGATGATGCAAATCTTGTATTTAATTTTCTGTGATTACCAGATGGTGCCAAATACGTGAACAAGATGCATTGCCCTTATAGTAAAGTTTTTCATTTCCTGTGGTTACCACAAAGGTAGTCCAAATATGTACATACATTTTAACGAAAAAATCCTTAATTGAAATTATTAACACCAAATTTGTATGTTATCCATATGGATACAACTGGGGTGCTAAAGAAAACTGCATTGATTGTAGAATATTCTGTTTCTGAGAACTGGTTAAATTTTCCATATTATCCATATTAGCAAACTCATCAGATTAACAGAGGATATGATGAGTGGAGTTTGATGGTGGAATTTGAATTCAATTTTAAAAATCTGGAACTAAAAGCCTAATGATGACCATGAAACCATTGCTCATTGTTGAAAAAACTCATCTGGTTCCCTAATATACTTCCTTTAGGTATGGAAACTGCCATCTTTACCCAGCTTTGACCTTTATGTGACTCCAACCCACAGTAATGTGAATGACTCTTAACTGCCCTCTGAAATGGTCTGGGAAGAGGTCCAGTACAAGGAAGTCTCAAAAAGGGAATGAAACCAGGCGGATCACCTGGCAGCAATGTAGACACCTGAAACGTGAACGGTAAACACAGCCTTGTCGACCCTGCAAAGTCCTCCTCACTAACATCTGGGGGCTAGTGCCAAAATTGAGAGAGCTGTCTCACAGACCAGTCAAGCAAAAGCTTGACACAGTCACTGATGGAATCATTAATTACAGACTATATCTTAGACACCACTATCACCATCCCTGGGTATGTCCCATCTCACCGGCAGGGCAGACCAAGCACATGTGGTGGTACTGTGGTATATTTGAGGGAGCTGCCCTGGGAGTCCCAACATTGACTCAGGACCCTGTGAAGTCTTATGGCATCAGGTCAAACATGGACATGGAAACTTCCTTCTGATTACTACATACTGTCCTCCCTCAGCTGATGAATCAGTACTCCTCCATGAGCAACACTTGGAGGAAGCACTAGAGGTGGCAAGAGTGCAGAAAGTGGGGTATTTCAATGTCCACCACCAAGAATGGCTCAACAGCAGCACTACTGATCGAGCTGGTCGGGATCTATAGGGCATAGCTGCTGGACTGTGTATGCACCAGGTGGTGAGGGAACCAACAAAACGAAAAACATACTTGACCTTACTTACCATACCTACCAAACCGTCGGCTGCAGAGTAATCTGTCTATGACGATATCAGTAAGAGTGACCACTGCACAATCCTTGCTGACATGGAGTCCCACGTTCACACCTTCACATTGAGAATGACTTTCATTGTGTTTTGTGGCACTATTACTGTGCTAAATGGGGCAGACTGCTGTCAAGTCAACTGTGATCAACCCTGGTTCAATGGAAAGTGCAAGACAGCATGCCAGCAGCAGCACCAGGCATACCTGAAAATGGGGTGTGAGTATGGTGAAGCTACCAAATGTGTGCCAAGTGGCATAAGTAGCAAGTGATGGCTTAAGTATAAATAAAAGCAATATAAGGCTATGAAGACAAAGTTATCTAAAGTAGGCTGGGAAAACAAACTATAACATAGAGTGGTTAAAAGTAGAAACAGATATTTACGGAATTATTTCAAACTGCCAACAAGGATATATTCCATTAACAAAGAAAAGATGCAGCATCCATGACTAACTAAGAAAGTTAAGGGTAGTATCAAATGAAAACAAGAAAAATACTAGGAAATTTGGTGATAATTCAGAAGACTGGACACAATTTAGAAATCAGCAAAGAATGACTGAAAAAGTGTCAATGAATAGTATGAAAGAAATCTAGATTAAAAATAGACAGTAAGAGTTTCTATAATTAAATGAAAAGGAAGAGAGTAGCTAAAGTGTGCAGTGGTGCTTTAGCATTTGAAAATAGGGAATTAATAATGGAAAACAAGGAAATGGCAGAAGTGTTGAACAAGTATTTTGCCAAATGTCATTAATCCATTATGAAAGATGTGATTTTTGAGTTTTATGATCATGCAATCAAATATCGAGTAACAGGAACTGTAGCAGCAAGTGGAGCTAATATGTGTGGCTACTAGAGCCAGGAGTCAGATTACAGTGTGCCCCAGATTGAGAGTTTTACAGTGGGGAGGGGGAAGAGCCAATTTTTGAGATTGGCAGATGCTGTGAAGAGCAGTCACATTATTCAGGTGAAAAGTTGTGAGTTTGCAACCTCAGTTTGCAATAAAATCACAAAAAACATCAGTTATAATTTCCTCCTGCCTTTCCAGAACTCACAAATGTCCAAGGTACAAACAAAAGGGTAAGCCATTGGTCCATACATCTGCTGTCCCCACCATGACTGCTACTTCTCTCTATGGTTGGGGAATGATGTCAAGGGTCTGTTTCTAAACATTGTCCATTAGGACTGCATTCCTCAGTTCCTTATTGATGAAATTCCTCTACACTCCAAAACTCTGCTTTCATACCCACTTCAATGGTTAGATGGTGCTGAATTGAAAGATCTTAATAATCTCAGTCATTATTTTAATATTTCTGAACACAGTACACCATGTTACTATATTTAGTGATACTAATCACTCCTCTGTTTAATATAATGATCAGAGGCTTTACAGTTTCTCCTTGTCCCTTTCACCTTGGGGAACAATTTATTTCAG